TCTCTCTCTCTCTCTCTCTCTCTCTCTCTCTCTCTCTCTCTCTCTCTGTCAATCGCTAGCCTCCTTTTTCCCCGTTCACTTTCCATCCATTCCAGGAGGCCTGGTTAATGCGGTGTTTTTTCTCTGCCATTCCTTCTATTCCACTTTTCTCGCTCTCTGTGCTGCTTGTGTCAGGACGATGTTATTTTTGAAGCTGAAACAAAAATACATATTCCAACGATCAATACAATTGGTACATTATAATGCAAAGCCAATTCAAACAATTTGGCCGGTACACGAACCACACATACCAAAATGATATTCAACTGCATTTTTACTGACCAGATGTAGCAGTGGAAGCACATCACACTCACATTCTCTTTCTCTCTCTACCTCTTTCTACCGCTTTTGCCATTCAACATAGACATACACTACCACCGGCCAAATCCATTCACCATATTCTCATCGATGCACATTCATTTATCTATCAAGTGTTATTTTTTTAACCGCGCGTTTACTGCCGATCATTTACCCACCATTGGTTTGAATACAATTTAGTGTGATCGAGACACGCAAAGTTCATCATTCCGTGTGGCATCTTCCCACTTCGTTAGAACACGATCTCTCGATGATTCATTTGATTGTTTCTTTGATAAATAAATACTACAATGTGAGCGAAGCGAAGGAGCTCTGAACTGGTATGTGTGTGTTCCACACCGTTTCGTCGATGTAGACTCAACGTCGTCGTCGTCGTCTCTTGATATCGTCACGAAATAATTTATTCCGTCTATAGTTTTTCATTCAGTCAGTAATTGTTGTTTTTGTTTTTGCTGGAAAATTATTGCAAACGATATTTAGATGGGTGCGAATTAAATTTTAGGTTTGCATTGAAAATCTCAATTGTTTTTTTCTTTGTTCGGCGAGACCGCATTGCATTTGAAGCATTTTGCTTTTGCAGTTTTTTTAGAATGAACCGTTTGGTTCAATTACCATTTACAATTAGGTAAATTTGGATGTAATAAAATAATTTTGCTCGAATACACAGTTCATTATCCACAGACAATGGCACTTGTCTCCCCATTTTATTGCAAATTTCCGGCTGCGTTTGTGTCTTGTCCAACTTTCTTCGGCCATAAAAAATATCGATTTGCCAACCACTTCCATAGTCTTTACATAGAAAGTGCGTGTGTGGGAAATTCCCATATTTCCGGAATAATAATTAGGATGCTGTTTCCAAAATATTGAATCGACATATATCTTTACTGCGGATTCGTACGCTCCCATTTTTCATTCATACACTGATCGTCGCACTGAACGTGCTGTAGGTAAACGGCTTCAACCTCATAAGACAATTACGGCCATTCTTCCATTAAATTGGGTCCATAAACTCAAGACGGTCATAAAACAATACCCAAATAAAATGATAACTTTTTTTTTGCATGCGCTTAAATCAGGTAGAGATAAAAAAGGTCCTATACAAGAAAATACACTTGAGGAAATAGCGGATTACTTTCAGAACAATATGTACAGTAGATAGGCAAGCGGTTGACTTCTGATCATTTGAAGTTTCTTTTTCTTGAATGAACCCCGAACCATTGAATGAAACATTGAACTAAAATAAATCGGATTATCGGCAGTCTACTGTACGCTAATGCACATCCAACGAGATGAAATTTGAACAGTTTATTTTTTTTCATTGAAAATTTCCGCAATGCAGTTAGCCTTTTATCGAGATACTTTTAAGTGTAAACAATTGGTACATTTTATTATGTCTGATGCTCTCCGAAATGTTTATTGCTTTTGGCGCCAGATGCATTTTTACGCATACTTTTCACACTCATTCATGAGTTTGACGATGGCATAGAAATGTAATTAGAACCGAAATATGGAACGAAAAGCAATCGAAGCAACCTTTCATTCAGTTCCATATTTTTTCATGATTTTTGCCAATATCAAATGATGACTTTATTCATCTCAAAGTGCAAACAGATTTCGTTTCGACAACGAAATTTCAACTAAAATGTACATGATTTAATGTGTGCATTGAAAAAACAAACAAGCTATATGTTTTGGTAGATCGGGATGAAAACTATGAACTTTTTTATACCGTAATCTTTTTTAAGTTTCTGTGAAAAGTTTATGTTTTTGCTTTTGCTTTAAATTAAAGCACGAAGATACTTTTAATTTGAAAAAAATGATGAATGCTTAAATTCCAAGAAAGAAAACTTCTTTCTACAAAAATCCACGGTTTCGGAATTTGCCTGAAAGACTGAAGAAATTCGTAATTTCTAACGAACGCAAAGAAAAAAACATGAGTTAAATGGAAAAAGGTTCGTATTTGACCTCAAATTACCATAGCTTCTCTCAATTCGTTGCTCATGATAAATGGACTGACATTCAATTTTCGCATTTTTCGTCATCATGTACAAAACCGCATCTTTTTTTTTCGGATAAAATATATGCATGAACTAAGAGAAAAAAAATTGAAAAGGAAAGTTTAAGACATCAGACAAATTGAAATTTGTTTGTCGTAGCAATGACTTCGTTTCGCTTCACGGCATTCATTCTATCAATTCATGTATAAAAGTTCTGTGTGTACACTGTACATATATAATAATTATGGTTTAGGATTTTATGTACAAGGGATTTGGACTGCCGCACACTCGATTTGATATAATAAAATTGAAATGACGTCCATTTAATTTGTTGTGTGTTTTATTTCATATCTCACATGGGTGAAATTGAATGGGTGCGATGGTGCTCCGTGTGTATGTGTGTATTGTTAGTGCATGAATTGCGGCTGAGCGATGTGAACGAGCGATGGGCGGTGCCGTCGTATTGGTACATGCGCGAACAACCAATCACCGTTCTCGAAACGATTCTCCATCTAGTTATGGTGTGCGATGAACAATGCGAAAGGCGTGTATTTTGGTCTGTTTGATGTTTGTTGATCATGTTCTCTTGATGCATGCATTTGATAAGATGACACACTCTACTCGCTCTCGATGCGCGCCACCGATTTGATTACGTGCCATTCGATCGATTTCCGCGTTTGCTGCATTTCTGTTGGGTCCATAAATATTTTGCCGCTTTGTTCCATACGCATATTTATATTTTTGTGTTAGAAATGTGAAACGGCTATATGGCTTAAAACACCTTTATATTTGCATTTGTAAATTGTTTTCTCTGAAAACTAGTTCCCCCCCCCCCCCCAAAACCAGCCTGCCATTCACACGCTATGCTACATTTTGGAGAAAAAAAAGCCTTGTTCTTTTTGTTCACATACTCTCTGCTCCACATTCGAATGGCGCGTATATTTATCGAGTGGCAATGACGACAGAAGGATTATGAACAAAAATTTCAAGAAATTCAAGCAAACATCGGAAAATTTCCCTATTTAAATGAATGTTCGATGAACAATTAGCCACTTTATTCTTTCCGGATTATGAGCCATCAATGAGACTGTTTAAGCCTCTTTAGCACAGACATGCATATTATAAAAGATTTTATTTTCCCATTTTACATGAGCGAATATGGCCATAAAAGCAGCGACCTAATTGTCACCGGGGAATTTTTCACTTCCGGACTATGGCTCAAAGTCATAAAATTAGGTGCATATGAAATTCGAGTGGAAAAATAGTAGAAAAATACCACATGCCATTCATGAAATTGTGAATGCAAAAATGGCTGAAATATTCGGACTGAAATTAAGACGCCACTTTTAATCAAGTCGGTTTTTTTTTCTGGTCCATATTTGAAAAAAGAAATCAAACTGTAAACATTCATGAGAGCAAACACTGTTCCGCACACAATTTACAGAATCAATTCTAATGAGTATATAAAATTCTCCCGAAATGATCATTCGTTTGAGCGGAATGGATTCTCATACGTATATATGCTTGAGACCCCATTTATTTTATTGAATGAAAATAAACAAATGTCCAGCGAGTGTTTGGTCTCCATTTTAATTGTTTCTATAAATAGATGTTTAGTCTTTTTTTGGCTTGGCTTCGATGGGAATGCAGCATTATAAAACTTTCCAAATTATTTATGCTGCAAATCATATAAATGGATAACTGGCAAAAAGAAAAACATCAAATATGTAACAGGCATTCTGTCCTCGAGCATTAGCTCGGGTTAAGACATTAAAATCAATATATAGATGTATATATTTTTTAAACAATAAAATGCGAATTTCAGTAAACAAACAATTCTCGCAGTCGGATAGAGCCAGAGTAAGAGACGAGGAGGGAAAAAAACGGAGATGCGAACACGTGAACCGAGCACGCTATAGGAATAGCGACAACACATCAAATGTAAATAAATAGTCAACGATGTTTAGTTTGAAAATATTTATATTTGATGAAGCGTTTAACACAGCAAACGTAGCTCACACTCTCGCATGTGCTCCGGCTAATCGAAATGGGTATGCATTGTTTAACCACTTTAAAACCAGATACACAATTAAAAAATCAATCACAGTGACACATGTTGCCAATTTCATTTACTGAAAAGTTAATTCGGCTAATTTTTCTGAATGCGAATGCAAACCGTTTTTTCGACGGTTTTCTCTCTCTCTCTCTCCCTCTCTCTCTCTCTCTCTCTCTCTCTCTCTCTCTCTCTCTCTCTCTCGTCTGATATTTGTTTTTCAGCGGAGAAAGCCAACAAAACGATTTATTATGCGTTTAATGTTCAAATTGTGCCAACTATTAAATTGACGTTGTCGTCAATTAGTCCGCGCCATAGTTATTCAATTGAAACTTTACATATTACATAGAATGTTAGCGAGAAGCGCTAGAGAGAAAGAACGCGTCAAGTTGGATGCGCGTATTTTCGCTTGTTTTCATACAAAATATAATAATTATTAATAACACTTTGAGCTGAAAGTCCCACCTCTCTTCGTCAAAATTTATCCATTGTGTCAATAGCATTGGCATACGCACGGAAAGCCCAGGTCCACAAATATTGCTGTCTTGTTTCGATGTACAGCAGATGAGAGAGAGAGAGAGAAAGCGCGTGGCTGTGTGTGCCATCCATTTGGTCGTTCGAGTTGGTTTATTCTAGCGATGATAAAATTATCGTTTCCCATAGGGAGTTACAATTTCAACATTGAATATGTATACAAAATGGTAATACCAAATAGTCGAGTGCTGGCCGTTTCCTATGCTCTAAAATAACAAAATTATACATCCCACAATCGCTCAATCACACCGAATACATTCATTCGTTCGTTCGTTCGTTCCTCCGTTCATTCATTCATCTCGTACAGTTTTACGCAAGCCACACTACATATTGTTGGTCTAGTATGCGTGTGGAAAATTGTATACACAAAATATATGGGCCCACACACACAATTATACATGCATCCGGCATCCCCGTCACTAGACTTAGAAAGTAACAAAACAACACCGAAAATTTTCTCATTTTCCCTGTCCCCCTCTTTCAGTTCGCCTTTCTCTTTCTATCTATCTATATCCCATACGTGTACGAACGAATGTTCGATGCCAATAGCTCTGGCTGACTGAGTGCATGGATCCTCGCTCACCAATACACACACACACACACACACACACTGAGAGACAGAGAGATATATTCGGTCGCACGACCGCACACACACCCAGCCCCGATTGCATGTGTTAATTTGTTGTGGCAGTATTTCTATGATCAGCTTACAGTGCTTACGGAGCAGAGCGCTTACAGGCAAAGCACAGGCTATTTCAATGTGCACACGTACGCTGCAGAGAATATATTCTTTTCGTCACACAGCTGAAGCAGAAGGCGAACTTTTCTCTGTTATTTCAGTCGTAGAAACAGTTATCGTCTGACAACGCTCACGAGATGTGTTGTTTTTTGTGTCGCGTGAAAAAATATTGTTTTTAATTATAATATTCAAAGTTAAATAAGCAAAAGTTGTTTTTCAAACATACATATACACCAGAAGCTATTCGCAATATATTTTTGTGGAAATAAAAACTATATCACCTTACCGTTTTCGATGCATTTTTTTCTCTCAACACAATTGATTGAAAAATTCGACAACTCTCAAACAGATTTAAAGCGACGATATTGACGATATTTTTGGACAATTTTTTTTCTTCTCTTCTTCGACGGAATGAAAATTCATTGATAAACATATGTGTGATTTTCTAACTTGGTAACAAACCGAAGTAGATATAAACACTTGGCGAAAAGAGATAAAATACATCAATTGACTGTTGAAAGTGTATTGAGTTTTGCAAAAAAAAAGAAAAGAAAATTTGTGTGAATCAAGAGTGAAACAAAGGAATGGCCATGTTATTCACCGATCAAAATTCGTTTCGACACTATCAAACGTCGCAAGGAGGATATGGTGGTGGCGGTCCAGCCATGCCACCATACAGCATGCACGATCAATATGCAAGATATGCATACCCAGGTACGGCCTATGCAATCGGTGGACCACATCAAAATAACCGCGAAATGGTCAAACCACCGTACTCCTACATCGCTCTGATTGCGATGGCCATCGAACATTCAGCCGATCGTAAAATCACACTCAACGGCATCTATCAATATATTATGGATAAATTTCCGTACTATCGCGATAATAAGCAAGGCTGGCAAAATTCCATCCGACACAATCTTAGTTTGAACGAATGTTTTGTGAAAGTGCCTCGCGACGATAAGAAACCGGGCAAAGGCAGCTACTGGACATTAGATCCAGACTCCAACGGTATGTTTGATAATGGCTCGTTTTTGCGACGTCGTCGCCGTTTCAAGAAGAAGGATGCGGTCAGAGAAAAGGAAGAAACGATCAAACGACAAGTGATGATGGAAGAAAAACTGGTCGATATTAAACCAATCAAATTGATGTCATCGAATGCAGTTGTCGATGCAAAGCAACACCATCACTATCATCATTTGAAACGAGAGCCAGGATTGGATTTATCATCGCATTTGATGTCAAAAGACATGTTCACCACCAATTCAATTTTAAATCCATACGCAAGTGAATCGATTACTAGTCAGTTGGCCAATGCTACTGAGCATGGATTCTCCGTTGATTCCCTGATGAATGCTGGATATTCATCGCGAATTCATCATGCTTCGTATCATCATGCATCGTACCACATCAACGACGAGAATTTACAATTACAAGCCAGGTAAATATCATTGAAATGCAACTCTTTTTTTTTCGATCAAAAACGCCATAGAAATTGATCGACACATTTTTCGACTGTGAAGAAAAAAAGTATTTGTCATTAGATCATTTCATTCGGTCAATTCGTGGTATATTTTTTTCTTTGATCAGTGAAATTTTACTCTGAAAATCTTAATGCTTGAGTGAATTGATAAATTACCAAAATTATTTACCTAAATTCCATTCACAAAATACAAAATTCAAGCAAAATGTTTAAGAGAAAAAAAATCGAATTACATTTTTTCCAAATCAAAAACGACGGAAAAAAACATGTTTATTAATTTCAACCATTTTTTCTTTCGTTCTATTCAATAGATTTCATTCAAACTATCACCACCATGGCGGTTGGAATCCACCAGATACGCCACCCGAATCGGTGACAAACATCCCAACCTCATTGAATAACAACAATAACCATTCAAACGGCGGCAGTTCTCACGTATCCATAGGTGCAACAAATATCTCGAATTCATTGCTGGCCGCCACCACAAATACAGCAATCACGTATCGTGATGGTCAATTTTTCGATCAAAATTGTCACCTGGACACGGCTGGCAGTCCAAATGGTAGTCTAGCATCGGCAAGCCCACCGTCGGTAATTGGAGCTCACTCCGTCAATCATGTAAGCAACTATAGACAACATATGGCTTATTATCAAGTTTAAAGTTCATTTCGTCGGGCCGTAGAGTAGGCTTTGTCATAACTCAAAATTGGGTGTCTAATATTTGGCCAGATGTCGTTAATTAGGTCATATATTAAACGTATCAATTGAAAATAAATTGCAAAAAAAAAAAAATGATATTCCTCCCTGTCCACGGAGGACCTTTACTGATTAGTAGAAAAAGTCGATCGCAAACATATACATACAACAAAAAACCGATGAAATCATCAAATCAATTTATAAAATAAACAAACAATAGTATGTCGATGAAACTGTAGAATAAACAACAAAAGGAGAATAATAGGAAAGAAGTGTGATGAAAACATGTGCGCCACGCGGCCACGCGATCGTTTGAATATTTCATTGAGACTCGGGCTAAACATTTTCCCGCAAACGGATAGAACACACAAATCAAGATTATTCCGAACGATTTTTGGCGGCACTTTTTACAAGCATTAAATGGTATCGAACGAAAGTTGAGAAGAAAAGATATTAATAGTTTACCTTATGCAATAAATTGATCACCTTTAAAATAAGTCATGATAAATACAATGTAAATAAATCCACGTATTCGCATTCCTCATACAAATGTAAGTAGAATTGATAAGCTATAAATTATTGCTATTACACACACACACACAAAATCACCGCATATTATTCAAGTTGACCCATCAAGCATTATCTCATAAATTTAGCATAAAAAATGGCGTTTGACTAATGTGACACAAACCCCACTAAGAAGAAGAAGTAGAAAAACCCCAAAATTTCAAACTCTGAAGATTTTAGTCACGACAAAAAATTATTCATAAAAATGTGTAATTGTATTGGTAGACGAAACCCTATCTCAAAACAAACAAACAAACTTGAAAGTACTGATCAAAGTATTCAGCATTGAATCGAATATTATTATAATCTTAATTTAACATGATATTGTCGCCCCGTTTAGACCTAAGAAAATTAGTAATTGTACAATTGTCATAGATCAAAAATTCAGAATAATAAAAAAATATACATAAAAAATTAAATGCAACTTATGTCATTCTTTAGATGTGCTTCCAAATTTTTACAGGAATTTCATTGAATTCTACAAATTTGATCGATTTCTCCAGTTTGTTTATCTCTTTTTTAAACGAACGAACTTCTATGGAAACTCAACCAAATGAAAATTCAGCACTCATTCAATTCGTAAGTAAAAAAAAGACTATGCAAATTAAAACATCTTATAAAATCGGCTGTTTGTTATTTTAACCAATGAAAAATAATAAATATCATATGTATGAAAATTGGTATCGAATTGCGGTTCTCAAAAGGTAAAGCCGTTAGCTTTGTAGCAAATCGTTTGATCTTCGTGCATGTGTTTGTGTGCTAAATTTGTGCATTCACCACATCGATTATTTACATGTTACAGATCTAAGCGTCGAATCTCGTTCGATTCTCAACGATTTCTTAATCGGGCAAGTGCATAAACGATTGAAAATTCATAAAATCAAAGATAGTTGAACCTTTGAAATCGACGTAGTAAATCATATAAGTATGAAGATGTTATTCATTCTTTGGTTACTCTTTATTTTTATTCTATTTGACTCTCCCATCCTCATGAATGCAGTGTGTTTGAAATCGGGATTCATTCAAGATTTTGAATATATTCATCGGCTGTGATTTTCGATCCAGCACTGATTGAGTGATGAATCTGTTTCTGGCGGCAGTTGTACAGTGTGCTGGATGTGATGTTTTCATTATTTTTAGCATCTAACAAGGTCCCGATTTTAGATTTGTCGACGTCACTTGATTCCGATCGCATTTTATCGACTTCTTTTTCTTCCTCTAATTTCCTTCCACTTTCTTCTTCTTAAATGAACAAAAAACGCAAACAAACGCTTTGTAAACAACATCGGGAACATTGTTTACATGCATTCGCCATGAACTGATACGCAATATATATTGAAAGCGAAACGATAAATTATTTTTTTGGGCGCCAATGAAGAAAGAAAAAAACAATGTGATGCAACCATAATCCAAATGGGGAAACAAAACCGCATTGATTGATCGGAAAGGAAGTACGCTTTCAATGGCCATATAATGCCTAATTATTTATTTTTGTGGTTCGCACCACATGAGATTTTGGCTTCACTATCTACGTTACAGTGATTTATACATCGATAGTTACTAATGCATATTTAAACGGTGGTCTGAACCAGTTGCGACAATTTTATAATCTTCAATTTTAAGGCGTTCAACGGCAATATCTCAAACGGGTTAAACATCTAGTAGAATCCTTTGCAATTCGGAATTTTTCGTAAAAATCCGTTGATCGTTTTTAATTTACAAATGGACATGGCAAATTCGACAAAAATGATTTTTCTTCTCTGAATGCTTCATTGGATAGCTATCAAAATAGATCATCGGCAAACATAAATTCATTTCAGAAGGTCATTCGTTCGGTCAAAAAAGTTTGCACGACAAATTTAGTTCATCAATTTTCTTTGATTCTTTAGTTTGAAAATTCGACCTCTTTCTTCTGTTCAAAACTGTGAATTGCTGGAATTGCAATAGACAGTTTCCAAAACCCATAGCCCGATGCTTGAAACTTGTATTGAATGTCAATATCTTTAAAACTTGCTGCCTTTTTTCCTTGAATATTCATCATCTTTCTATTTCAATTTTCCAATCATCGTTGTCTTATTTCCATTTCTGTTTCGTTCATTTATTTGCTTAGCTGAAAGTACTTTCGAAAATATCATTTCCATTTCCAATCGTTGTGCAGGTCTTGTCATGTGTGTGTATGTTTTTTTTTTGCTGCCCAAAATGGTAAAATCATTGGCATCGGCCGTAAATCGATGCCAGAAGACATAGACACGAATTTCACTTTATTCTGATAAAAACTCTCATGCTTACAACCCATTTCCGATCCATTTCACCAGATCCGAAAATTAGTTACTTTCGATAATTGAATTCAGTTGCCTTGAAGGATGATACAGGCTTACACGCAGCCATCCATACTCGAAATATCATCTCAGTTGCCAAAAATTAATGGGAAACGGTTGCAGCCATGTTAAAATGAAAGGAAGGAGTGAGACATATATGAATGAGAGAAGAAAAAAAAAACAGAGTGAACCACATATGGGAGTGCAATCCGAGAGACAGAAGCAGAGAAAAAGAATGGAAGGAGAAAAAGAGAGAGAGAGAAAATTGAACGAGAACCGATCGAAACTAGGTACCCATCGAATATCAGTCATCTGAATAGAGCGCGTACAATGTGTATATTTTACGCACTCGATGTGTAGAAAAAACACTAAAGTGTCAGTCAAAATACACGACATTGTTTATTTACCCGGCAGTGAAATTTAATAAAAATGTTGAATACATTATATCGCATATGTATTCCTTTTGACTTCGTCATGCGCGTATACCATACATGCATAGAACGGCAGAGCAAGAGTGAGTGCGAGAGAAGGAGAGCAACTGAGCATTGCCCACAATAGCAGCAGCAATATATACGAATATAGGCAAAGGTTTTTATTATGCTTTCAGATGTGCACATCAATTTTAGAAGTTATCGACAATGTGCTTAATTTAAATGCAATTATATTTTTACGTACACAATTGAAATGGTGAGAACAAGAGAGGAAAAAAGGAGAGAGGAAGACGGAGAAAAAGTGAAAACCACACAAAAATCCATGCATGCACGTACTCCAAACTAAAGTTTCAGCATTGAATCGGAGCAAACAATACAAAAATGGCTAACCGAATATGCGATTCAAGTTGACACGACTTTTTGCCAAGGTAAACACACAAAGTGGCCATTTTTTTATTGAGAAGAGCAGCCGAAATATTGGGAAAAGTTTATATATGTATAAATTTATAAAAACAATGGGAAAATCAATCAATATCTACAGAAAATTGATTCACAAATAAATGGAATAAACAAATAACAAGGTTTTTACCTTTTTCAACAAGGCCAAATGGTGACATCAAATGATATTTGTTCAGATCAGAAGTATTGATGCAACAAACAGCCCTTATTTCAATTTCACCATTCAAAACTTGTTATCTCTCAACAAAAAATCCTGTCCAAATCCCAAAAAAGTCCGAATAAGTCGAATGTAAGCTCTTTCGTGACATATTTCCCAGAATAGAATGTCTAATAATCATTGGTAACACCATAAAAGAAAATGCTAATCCAGTTTTCGATGACTCTAATTGAGTAACAATATTGGTTCGACAAATATTTATTGTTTTCTATCTCGCACGTTTGACTGCAATTTTCAAAATCATCAAAGAATGCAAATGGTAACATACTCTTGAGATTAGATGCGGCAAATATTTATGCGATGAGAGCAGGAGACATAAAGAGAGAGAAAAGGAGAGAGAGAGAGATCGAGCATCAAAAGCGTGGCAAATAGATAAGACCCATTTCCACATCCCATTTGAAACGATTCCAAAGCCCGTCGAAAAATGGTTAGCTATTTTAAACCGCTGAAATAACAATTCAATCTAATAATACATAGAGCAAACCGAGTGAGGAACGAGAAATTGAATGAACAACGAACGAAAAAAAAATCGAATATACATATAAAATAGAACCAAGCACATAGACAGTTCGAACATTTCATCCATTTGCACAGAGCAATACACGCGCGTGCAATTTGTTTGGGGAGAGAAAATTTCACGATCCATTTGCAACGAGCACACACCGCGCGACATTTTGTGGTGGTAAAGTAAATGTAACTATAAAATTCGTTGTAAATATCGAAGTGGTGTTCACCCTAGATCGAAATAATATAAATTATGTACGATGTTGCGGATGTTGAGCAGAGAATTAGCTAGGCTCAGCTTACAAAATACCGACTTTTTCCCTCTCTTTCTCTCCCTCACTCTATTTCTATGTCCGTCCACGGTGCACAAACGATGAGAGACGCCGAGGCAACAACGCACGACCAGATAGAGATGTTTTGGTCGTGGTATTTATTTTCCACCCTAATCAAATTGAACGTGCCAGCGAATGAACGAATGAGAAACACCGCACCCCTGGAACAAATGAATTGCGGTTGAACTGTCTTATTTGTGCATTACAAAATTATATTTGTTCGTAGTCACTATAAAACCACGCCTTTGTCTTTGTGCCGCTACCAATTTACCATGGCTTACCATCTTCGGCGGAGCCGTCAAATATATGGGAAAAAACACACTCGCATACCATTTTGGTGCTCTGTAAATTCTCTTGCTGCAAGAGATTCTTCATAATAACAACAAAACCAACTTAGACTGTGGAACACTCATCTCAAGGATTTTATCGATTTTTCAGTGGAGATACTTCAAAATGGAATTTAATGGAGATGTTATTTAGTTGCTAAAATCATCTTACATTCGTTTTGACTTTGCCACAAACTTTCCTCTTCTCTCTCGTTTTCGTCAAAGCTGTTCGGAGTAGTTCTGCTTCTTACAAAAAAAAAGAAATCGTTTTTATTGGTGAATTTACTGGCATTCCAAACCATTTAATAAACAGTGAAGCTCCATTCTAATTTTCAACCAAGTCATAGTTGGTATGAATGAGTGACTCAGTAATAATATATGCCATAGTTAAAATGATTTGTGGAGTGAAGGAAAAATAGCATTGAAAACTACTAACCACAGTTTAGAATTAACGAGAAGGTTTTCGACCCAATTACTCTCTTTCTTTGAGAAAATCACTTAAATTCAACATATTTCCAGGGCAAAGCAAAGAAGGCACTTTTGAGGTAGTTTTCTATGATTTGATGAGATTTTTCTATAGAAAAATTGCTATAGCAACTCTCTACGCCTACGAGAGCCTCCAAGGAAGCTCGAATAGGTCAATGCGAATTTTATTTATTCATCTCCTTTGTTTTTAAAACCCACTCGTCAAACATGCAACAGTGTATTTGCGAATATCTAATGCAGAATGAGTGGATAAGTACAGTATGCACATCCATTTGGCGATGGAACATGGCGAAAATAATATAAATGTCGAAGAGTGAGCGAAAAGGAGAGATGGTTTGAGGCGAAAAATCACTGTATGTTTACAAATAAATATCAAATGTTTAAATAAACCATATTGCTGCAGTGCATGTGATATGTGTGACCACCCACTGTGTGGTAGTACTGACACACGGAAGCAGTCTCAACTCTTTTATGGTCATCTCTTGCCATCGCAACGAAAAATTGAAGGAAATTCTAGTCTGTCTGACGAACAGCATGCCAAATGCGTCCGTTATCTCTCTGTTTGTTTATGGACTTTTTGTGTTTGTTCATAATTCGGAGAGTCAAACTTGGTTTGTTTTCGTCTTTGACTTAAAGCGAGCAGTCAACACAAGGATTGAATTGATTTTCGGTTACGTTGTTTTGAAGTATTCTAATACGATACACGAAAGCCGCGTTGGCAAATGAAAAATGTTGTCATATTTTTTAAATATTACCATGGTCTTACCGTTGACATTACACACATTCTGTCCAATTTATTTGAAATATTCAAACGGGTTACATAGAATATGCTCGTTACAGGCAGCTTGTCAATTGGGAAATTTATGAGAGCAAACGGTGCTTTTGACACAACACGATTCGGAGCGTGCTGGCATGTGAAATTCCAATCAGAGAGAAATCAAATGTACATGAAATCAATGACACCTCTTGTCACAAAGAGCGCAATGGGACTTAAAACCAGTCGCACACTTATTTTTTGACCGCAAAACCATTTGGACAAACATTTCAAAAAGTCGATGATTTTCCATAGAAAATATTGCCACTAGAAAAAGAAATCGATTTCAGAGAAGCAAAAGAGAATGTAAAAAGTCGGTTGGAAAATCATTTTCATTGAAATAATTTGTTGATATTCCACTGTGCACAATTCAATTGACACATTTCGTTGCTAAGTGTGTTATTTCCGCGCGATAAAAACGCGTGAATTAATTTTCCGCCGTCAAAATGAAGCTGTTCATTTTTGGATTTCCATTGAGAACAAAGTGGCCCAGTTTCAAGTACTGATGAAAAAGCGCTTTGATATTCTTTATTTTCGAAAATATCTACAAGGAATTTATGCGATGCATTCGAGACCATTAACCAATTTGATGCTCATAAAATTGATTTATTTGGTGGCGAAGAAAGCGAAGAAGGAAAGCAACATGCTAGCTAACGCGCGCGCACACGACTTGAAAACCGAAAACGTTAAACGAACGCAAAGCGTTGACAGGCCAAATGTAAGTGTGTTCAACTGTGAAAAATGTTTATTTGTTTTTGAGGTGGAATGACTTAATCTATAGCTGTATAATCTAGATATGTGTAAAGTTAAGTGTTGCCTTGTCGGTGTGTCCTCGGTAAATGGCCATTTTTTCAATTCATTACTTTCTGTGATATACTTGCCGATTGCAGTGAAACTATTTTGCGATTTTTACCAAATATTCACTAAATACAATTTTCATACTTGAAACTATGCCTATGACACAACAAACAAAATGTTGGAAATTTCTAAATTAGTTTATTCAAATAGTTTTCAATTGCGCGATATTATGGAGGCGATAAACTTTAAACATTATTAAAAATTTAGTCAGCTACCTATGCTCGTGGTTTGTATTTCTAGCCATTGTAGTTGGGTTTGTGATTTCACTTTTTTAAACAGCAACAATCATACTAAGAATCACTAGGAGAATCGTGACATTTAAGAGTGTTGAATTCTTTGAATAATGTGAACTCTGTGAATTGTTGGAGTTTTGAGTGCTCGAATCGACGTCTCCATCATCCATATTGCTATCAATTACCTGATTGGTATTCAAACGGATGGATTTGTTAAACTGTTCTATTTTGACACCTCTAATAGTATCAGTCCTTTCAGAATTCCTGAAGAGATTTAACGTCGGTAAGCTCATGACATTGTATCGTTTAGATAAGTGTGGGAGTTTGTCATCATCAACCTAAACAAAAGAAAACTTCTTCAATTCAACATTTGTATTGGCATTTTGTGAAATATTTCATCTTCTAGAATTCTAGTCGTTTTATTTGTATCGATGTATATGATTGAATGTAATGTTGAATGTCGAACCAGGTTGACCATGCATTGCGCACTGCACGAGTGCAACGAATATTTTTTTTCATTCGAGTTGTGTTATTTTCAACGACAATTTAAATTTAGAATTGATGAAATAAATGAATGGAATTAAAGTGGTTACCTTAAGCACGACAAGCTCTGTTTTTTTGTATAATTTAGCCGTTTGTTCTAAAACTGGGAACATCTTTCTGCTATGGGGACATCAAGTGGCAAGAAAGTTTCTAAGGACGAAAAAAAAACATAAATCATTGAAAAAACGTATTCCAATATATAAGTGACAATGTTTTATGACCAAAAAAGTGAGCACGTTTCAATCACTTTTCATTCGAGAAATAAGAAGTAAGTATTCCTGCTTTTGACATTTCACACAACCGAAACTACAATTTTCACACAATTACGAAGAGTGTGAAAAACTATCAGTTGATTAGCATTTTCTAACAAAATATATCATAATTGCACCGACCACTGGTTCTATTCACACTAGTGAAAGCAAAAAGCTGCTGAAACATTTAGCTGATTCAGTTAATGAACAACGACATTTATTTGATTGAGAAAATAATGATTTTTTCTAGACAATTTATGGAGAGGCATTAATGAATAAATAATTAAATTATCATTACACAACGACCAATTTTTCACCAGCTTCCCGTTGTTGTTCATCGAATTCAGCCTTCTCTGTAATTTCCAATATATCAACAGCATTTGTAAAACTAATGCACAAACAAAGCCAAATCACTGCAAACTTCATTTTGGAACATGTATAGCTCTTGTTGAGTTCAAGGCAGAATTTCGATTGATGACAGATTTACTCATTAAAATGTATGAAATTGAATCGTACTGTGAATCAATAATTTAGTGATGATTATCCGTGTAGAAAATATTTGACTAACTGACTGTAACGGACCCCAACCAATAAGCGTCTTTAGTTAACTGAACAGATGATTTGTATAAAAAACAGTCGACTACGATTAAATTTTAGCTAATCGCTTAATTTGGGACCTATTTGACTGCAGTCAACTTTTGATCGCAGTTAACTGTGATCATTGTTTTTGTGCTGAATAATCACTTGTAACCAGTCGACTATGTCCCAAAATGATCGATTGGTTGCCCAGTCGAAATATTTTCACACGGGTATAATCATCACATCAATGCATTTTATTGAGCAAAAGTGACACAACTCAGCATTGAGCGGAAAAGATGTTTTTGCATTTTTCTCCCAATTTGGAACGAGATGGCGACAAGATGATTTCAGCATATTTGTAGTTCTTGTGATGTTCTAAAGTAATGCATTCCTTCTCCGCTCAATGCTCAGTTATATCACTTTTGCTCGCAACTTCATTTGTTTCTCTTTTGCTTAAAGTTTTTTCCGTATCAGTTATAGAAAAAGAACTCATAAGCTGCTCTCTTGCTTTGTACGTGTCGTGTATGTAAAATTAAGTATTGGCTTGTCGGTGTCTCCTTAAATGGTGTCTCCTCCCTTTTACTCTTTTTTTTAATATAAAACAATTCAGCGATTTCTACAAAATATTCATAAAATGCAATTTTCATACTAAAATTAGTTTATTCCACTAGATTTTATTTGATCTTTTGAAGGCGATAATTTTCAAACATTAGAAAATTTTTTAATCAGCTACTTATGCCCGTCGATTGTATTCCCAGACATTGTAGATAATTTTGTGATTTCGATTGTTTAATCAGCAACAATCATACTAAGAATCACTAGGAAAATCGTGACATTTAAGAGTGTTGAGTTCTTTGAATAATGTGAACTCTGTGAATTGTTGGAGTTTTGATTGCTCGAATCGACGTCTCCATCATCCATATCGCTATGGATCGTGCTCGATTCCAAGCGTACGCCATCCACCTTGCTATCATCTTCCGATGAGTTCTGTGAATCGTTGGAATTTTCAGTGTTCGAATCGACGTCTTCATCATCATCATCCACCTCGCTGTCATCAACATGATTAATATTCCAACGAATGGATTCGTTAAGCTCTTCTGTTTTAGCCCCAACAATAGTGTCAATCGTTTCAGTTTTCCTGAAGAGAATAAATGTCGGCACGGATGGGACATCGTAACGTTTACTTAATTTTCGGAATTTGTCAACATCAACCTAAACAAAAGAAAAGTTTTTCAATTCATCTTTTGCCATTTTGTGGAGGGAAAGTAAAATTTTATGGAATATTTCATCTTCTAGAATTCTAGTCGACTTATTCATTCTCTGCGTCGACGTATATTGATAATGTTGAATATCGAACAAGGTTGACTAAGGTTGACTATGATTGACTATATATGTACAATTACATACAATGCGAGTGCAACCAAGATTGTCTTCCATCCGAGTTGTGTTCTTTTCAGCAACATAATAGCATTTGTAATAATTGAAAGTATATGGATCACTCCAAACTGATGACAGCCCAGAGGTTTCACAGATCAGATCTTTTATGCACGAAAAATGTATGTACAAGTTTGTACGTACATAGTTCTGCTGGTGTGTCTGTACTGCACAGTCAACATTGTTTTACGCCGAATATGGTTACTAACTATGGATTGAAATTTCGAAATGATGAAATAAATGAATGAAATTCAAATGATTACCTTAAGCACGACTAGCTCTGATGCATTATATAATTGAGCTGTTTGTTCTAAAACTGGAAACATCTTTCTGCTAAAATGACACCAAGTGGCATAGAAGTTTCTAAGGACGAAAAAAACATGAGTCATTTAAAAAATGTGTTCTATTACATGAGTGACAATGTTTTCATGTTGAAAAATGATTTCAGACTGAACCAAATGGATTAAAACTTGAAACCAACGAGCGAATATTTGTCGGCGGATTGGTTGCTAATAGAAGTGTGTACGTAGTACATTTCAATTACTTTCCGTTCGAAAAATGAGAAGCGAAAAGTTGCTAAAAAGTCAGTTAATTTAGTCAAACGAACAATGATATTTATTTGATTGGAAGAATTATCATATTCCCGGGATAATTTATGGAGAAGGGTATCTCGAATAAACAACTAAATTAACATTACACAACGACCAATTTGTCACCGGCATCCCGTAGTTGTTCATCGAATTCAGCCTCCTCTGTAATTTCGAATAT